CTGGCACATGATTTAATTTATATTAAAGATATAGCTAGATAATGTTAAAAAAATCAACTAMCTAACTTTTACCAAATTTTTACTGTCAATCCCTGAATCCAACTTATTCTTCAATTTTTGACAACATTTTTCAAAATAAGCAATTGATATAAACATATTTTATTCATGAAGTTTGAACTATTTTTACTTAGGTTGCCCTGCGCGATATATTCAGCTTACTCGTTACTTTGGAGGCTCTTTGGAAAATCCCACGAAATACCAACGASGCCGTCAAAATTATCTTAATTTTCGCATAAAATGTTACTGTAGTATAGAACCACAAGTCAAGTATGAGGTGAAATTAGCTCGAATTTCTAAGGTAAGGAATTTCAAAAAGTCTTGCAAGCCGTAAACTTGTACCCTAATTTTATGCTCCACAAATTCGTACTCCTCGAGATTGTCGAGYATGAATATCTAATATTCTGTATAGCAGGCTATACAAGTAGTTTAAATGTTACTTGATTTATGGAAGGAAAATTACGATTGAGTTTATTTGAGTTGTCAAGAAAATTTTACCACTAGTACTTTTTATTTTAATTTTTGCTGTTCGGTGCTCTTGTAACATTGTTTCCCTCTTGCTTTTGCCCTTGACCGGCCAAACTTTTTTCATTTGTTAGTCCTGTTAGTCTAGTACATTAACATGCATTAACCCTCATTTTAAACGTAAATGAAATAATAAACATGCATTTTCTTCGAATTCATCATCACTTTTCGCTTTTTCAGCTCTGTCTGATTATGCCCTTGTTTTTTCTTGCGTCATCTGGATAAGTATCATAAACATTTAACTGGATATTTAACTTTTTTTAGATGGGATACATTTCGAAGTTTACTACTGWAGATTATGGTACTGCGTACAATGTTTCAACATTTTATCACAATTRCGAAGTAAAGGCATTGTCGCTTTCAGCGGGAATTTACTACGTGACGGTAAAAGCTTGGTCTGCGAATTTCAACACGTCGTGGGATTTCAAACATACGTTTATCAACATTTCAAGAAGTCCTTTAAAAGCCGATATTGTCGGYTCRGCGACGTGCGTTTACACACTTGGTTTGCCATTTTATGTAAACGCTTCAAATTCATACGATGAAGATTTGTATCTTTCAGGTAAGGGGATGTTATATATAATCTAATTTTGACACATAGCTTTCTTGAGAGTTAGTAGAGSGAGAAAAACTCTGTAATTTCTGTCATTTTTGAATTGTTTAGGTGATATTATGTGATATACACGAACTACGTACGAGTTTTTAAATGACTTCTAAAACCCAAACCTAAGAAACTACAATATTTTAGTTTAACATRAAATAAAWAAAMWAATAYCMAAAATGAATAATTGATGAAGATAGCTCCATCTGAGTATGATCAGTAATCAACTTGGTTTCCCACATTCAAGCGCCACTATATTTTAGTCTACTATGAATCTGCAATAAGTACATTTAAACTCAAGACCTAGTAAAGAACTTTTCTAGTGTTGGGCACAAATCGAGTGTCTGTAAATCAGTTACAACACTGATGTTTTATGCATTAGTTTTATAACTAACTGAACCGGCTAGTTATAAAACTCATGTTTAATTAATCAGTGTTTATAACTTGAGTTATAGATCCTGTCATGTGACCCATAGTTGAATGCTCATTGGAAGAATTACTAATGAATAATTCATGAGTTTTAGAAGAAATTTTTATTTATTTCTCTGAATTTCGAGATCTCTTTCACCCACGCATTATTCAATTCTTCGTGTGCATGTGATGTCATAGTCACGCAAAAAATCTCGCAAAATCCAAAATATTTTTGCTAAAGAGCTGTTCTTACAGTATATCTTAAATATATTTCTAGATACTATATTTCTAGACACTATTAGTGTGTATGGAAATTTTCAGACGAATTCAACGCTTTGGTGGCGAATTATAAAAGTTTTAGTTTGTGCGGACTACTTCTACTTTTAGATCGTAAACAAAAACTTCGAAATTGGATAAATCATTCTTTCAGTGACTCCGTAAGAACTTACTTAAGGTGATTTTTCTCATTGAAATAAAGCCATAATTGAACAAAATTTACAAAGGAAATCAAGGAAACCAGAGTTGTTGAAGTCAAGTTGAAACCAGCCGTCATCTTGGATGATCAAAGTTATCATCCAAGATGGCGTCCCCATACAAATTAACCACATTTTTCAAATCTTTATTCGCTGATATCTTCATCAGAAAGTAAGCTGCAAGCCTTGTGCTTTGTGACTCGCTACTTGGTTTTTGAAAATAACGACTAATAAATTTTCACTTTGGGGGTTGCACACCAAGAATATTCGTGACTCTTCGTCTTTTCCTTATTGAAACTTAGTAATAAACTGTATTACTTCAGTAACACACCGCACTGCTGCCATAAAAAGAGACTCTTGACTTTACTCTCCAGGACTATATTAAACCAAAATAGTCAAATTGTGAAATTGGAAATCAATTTGCTCTTTTCATTTCGAATAATAAACCGGCTGTAAGATTAAATAGTTTGTTTCTCTATCTTAGCTGAAGCAGCTTTTCCGTATGATGACGATTTGAATTACACTTGGACCTGCAAAAAAGTAGAGGAAACTAAAATCATTGACTTTAAGAGTCTTAACAACTTAACGGTAGTTAGTAACGAGAGCCCCAACAATGGATCAGGTGGCTGCTTTGGTACCGGCATTGGTCGTTTACAACCAACTACCAGGATAATACAGTTTCAAAGTAGCGCTTTAACTGTTGGTAAATACATCAGATTCCAATTATTTGTAACAAAAGACACACGACATGCTGAAACATATGTAGATTGCAAGGTCGTTGATCCACCACCGAAGTTTACTGTAAGGTAGGTTATTGTAATGCATGCCTTAATCATATACAGTCAAACTCACCAACGTTGTTCAGTTGTTTGACAAGAACAAAGTCATTTGCATACATTTTGCAAGATTGATTTTTAAAAGCTTAAATTACAAAAATTGATGACAACGTACTTGCAAGCATGATCTAGAGTTTTAAATCAAAATCCTCAGTGGCGGGGATTAAAAAAACTGAACATTTTATGCAAATTTCTTTGTTGTTTTCTTTATTTCTTTTCAACTCACTTGAACAACGTTAATCGGGTATTGACTGTATAACACAGTGAGGTGCTGGGAAAGGCTTTTTTATGTTGAAACTCTTGTGGTGTTTAAAGTTACAGCAATCATCAATTAGGGGGTTTAYCACGTCTGTAGACTGCACCACGATTAATTATTATTGGAATTATGTTTTATGAATTAACCTTTTTTATTGAAATAATTTATTATTGGATTTTATTAGCTAGCTTCTGAAATGATTAGTTCTTAATTTTATTATAACAGTAGACTCTGGGCACAGTAATTAAACAAATTTGATAGGCGCGACGGTTCGGTGTCGTCTTAACAATGGTGCCAATCTCTATCATATTTAAAACAAATATCTAGTTGTCTATAGCTTAGTTTTTTATTCAGACGTTTCGATCTGCTCTCAGATCTTCTTCAGTGCAAAAAAATGAATTCCGTTTCTATCATATTTGTTTCGTTATTATTATCATAATTATTTCATTTTATTATTTGTATGACTTATTATCGAATTTTAACAGTTAAATAGCAAAAAGATTGTATWTTAATACAATAATATTTTAATAATATTTAATATTAAATTAATTTAATATTAATTAAATTATTACAGACAGACAGACGTCATTTATTAGTTAAATTTTTCCTTACAATTCTAAAGGGAACTAATAAATGACGTCTGTCTGTCTGTCCATCAAACACCGTAAAGTATCATATTTTTATTCAATCTATGCATTGTCGATGTAAACTCTGACAATATTCGTTGGATATCATTGGTTAATTTCAAAGTRTGTTTATCATTTTAGTTGCTTATACAACTGCGCAAAGTTGACGAAAACAACTGCCCGACTTGCTCTTACACCTTCCTGTGACGACCCTTCTGGATGTGGAGACAAAGCGACATATTCATATTTATGGTTATTGTTTGTCGACTCTGGAAAGAAAACTGATTTTGGAAAAGGCTTCAGTAAGTCTTCATTTGAATAAAGTATAGACTGCGATGCTTTTAAGCCGATTTAACTGGGCAATGATTTTATATATTTGATTGTGAGGGCAACGCGACAATATCAATATTTTTAAGCTAGATATTGAATATTTCTTAATATCGCACTGAGTTCTGCTATGAAATTTCAACTGAATCATTTTTTTTATTGTGAACAMAAACTTTCAAATTTCACAATGAGAATATTGCTGATACGCATTTTTTTAAATTATCACTCGACATCATGGAAAAGGTTTTATCAAATGAATTCACATATTTATTAAAATATACACCAATACTATATTTCAATACTATTTCACCACTATACATAAAGCCACTGACGCATTTCAATTCTCTTGTCTCCTTAGCTTGTGTTTTTTTTTATCATAGTCATTTTAAAATTTTATAGTTTTTGTATTTAGATGTGCACTCAACTTGCACACTTCCAGTTAACTTTGGCAAAATGAAACCTACAAAATCAGTGGCGTCGTGAATCATTTGTGTTTTGATTTTTCAGAAGAAACAGTTTGGGACCGTGTTTATTCTTACACTCGACTAACAGAAGAGACCAACCCCTTCTTAGTTCTTGGCGAGAACACCTTAGAACAAAATCGACGATACAGAATCCAGTACACTGTATTGAGTAATGAAAATGGGAAACGGGAGATGAACTTTGACATTAAAACTAATACACTTCCGCATTCAGGGACGTGCACACCTGACAAGACAGAGGTCGAGGCAGCCATAGGAACATTGAATTTTGAATGCAAAGGTTGGCGAGATAACGAAAGTCCCTTCGTCAGCTACGAGGCATGGACTCGAGCCTCAAATAGCAGTGATCAAAAACTTCTCTATTTCGGGAACTCTAGTTTTTTCCAATTAAGATTACCATTAGGAGATGCAAGTAATGGATATTCCTTAACACTTGAGTTGAAGATCCGTGACGATCTTCGTGAAAGTGCTGATTTAGTATTCAATATAACRGTATGTATACAGCTATTTCTGAAAACTATCGAAACTAGCGGCAAGAATGGATTCAGTAWTCAACGTTTCTGAATTAGCTATATGCACATGCGTAGCTTATGGCATATTGGTATTTAGCATTATTTCACTGATTTTGGCCAAATTAGTTTCCCCGAGCCATCTTGAAAGGAAGCCTTACCTTTGCATCGAAGAGGACAAACGTTGGACGTGCAATGATAGAAATCGTCTTTCTCACCTACAAACAATAATTCAAAGAAATCTGTCATTGCATGCTCTACAGTCGTATCGCTTCGGTGCAAAGGCACGGCTACCTTTTTCAAGATGGCAGAGTGAAGCGCGCATGAAGGAGACGAATATTCGAAAAAGTACAATCGATAGATATTTTTTAATATTTGGTGTTGTTAATTAAGTTAAAACAAATTGAAAGATCTGATCGAAAAATCAGCTAGCTGCAGGTCTCCAACAAACTCTGGCGAGGGCTTACTATTGGCTGGTTCGGCGTACATACAAACTAGAGTTGTTTTTAAAGTCCCTACGAAATGAATTTTTGCGCTYCAAAAATAGCATTTATGTGTAGATAATACTAGCTTGGCTACGTCTCTCTGGATACAGGCGTCAAACTTCTGAGAAAATTAGGGTTAAAAACCATTATACTAATTTGATGACTGACATAACGACATTTTCTCAGCATTATACAAGATTGCGCTAGTAGTGTTAATTTCAATTTATTTTGTTTGTGAAAAATATTTTACAGGGTGATCAAAAGCAATTATCTACAAATTAGGAAATGATAATTTTTTATCATTGTTATTTTGAAGTCATCACATAAGCATCATTGTTCGTCTTGTTCATTAATTAGACTAATCAACCCTCAAGTTGAAACTATAAGGGTTATCGTAATTCGCGTTTTATTAGTACTGGAACAAATGCAAAGGATTTTGATGTTACAGTCAAAAGACATGAAGCACGCCCCCGAAAAAACACCGATGCATTGCAATATATTGTCCAATAATATTATCCAATAATTAATTGAATAATGAAGTCTTTGGTGGTCGGGGGGAGCGCTTCATGCCTTTTGACTGTAAAGCTTACAAACGAGCGAAATTTATAAGCATTGTGACTTACCTTGCCACCGTTCAAGCCGAGCACATCAGCGATGTCGATCCGCGGAAAGAAACGTAGATTAAGTAGTGTAACATTTGCACTTGACAGTTTTCTACCTTAGCCAAGCTACTATACATTAATGCCGTTTTGGGRATGAAAAAATTCGTTCCTTAGGACACTTTAAGCCCACTTTGTAATAATTGATTTTTAGGTGACGCCACCAAAAGTAGAAGATATCGGAACTGCTCTTTTGGACCTACTTAGCTCCCCGGGAGATGATGACCAAACGAAATCCCAAATTGGTCTTGCTTCGCTCAGTCTAATCGGARATAACGCAACTTCATTGCGCTTTTCAACAGGCGATAAAGCTGAGGTATGTATTGTACCGTTTTACCACTATGACATATCAAGGATCCCTTTTACTACCCATGCGCGATACGCTTAAGCTACCTTCTTCACAGCACTGTTTCTAAGCACATTCTCGATCAAGGTGCTTTCATATATTCATATTCAAYAAATACGGCATTTCCTCCTCTATCTTGAAGTGTTAGTAAATCTAGTAAAAATACCAATGTGTTTTAGGCAGAATAGACCTAATCGGCTAACGGCGTTGCTATGTACGTTGCCACCCAATTCAAATCCTGTGGGAAAAAGAACTTTTGTTTCTAAGAATTCAACTGTTAAATGAAAATACAACGAACARTGAATCTTACTCCCGGGTGGTTTGAATTGGGTTGAAGYCGATTAGGTCTATTGATTGCATCCACATGTACTGTATCATAAGTATAGGAAATACAATATCTCCTGTATCACAGAGAAATAAGCACTTACTTAAAAAAAAGAATTAAAAGCCACTGGATCTAAAATGACACGATGTGAAACGCCAATTCTGGTTAGAAATAGGCTCACCTTTCTCCATCGCCTCCAAAACATGCTTGACTTGTCTTTAAAGTGATGCTCTATCACGTGCTTTTRGTTGGCAAATGCACGAAAAGAAATATAACAGAGTTAGACTTTTTACAATCGCAAAGGGCTCCAGTTCAAGGTACCCAAGAGAAAACTAATGAACAATTTCGAGATATTTTTCCCGCTCATAATATAGTTTTTTTTGTGAAATTATATTAAATGCAATGAACAAAGAAAATTCTTGCTCCTTGAAAAACAAACACACAAATAAACAAAACAAAACAAAAACAATAAAAAAAGAAAAAAAAAAACGAAGAAAAAATATAAGAATCTTTGTTGAAAATCTTCGTTTCAACAGCATTCGACACTTTCAATAGTCAATACAGCCAAAGTTACAAAACATTGAAAAAGAGATTTCTACGGATTYGATCTTTTTCTATCTGCTCCCGACATGGATATAATGCACGCAGCGCGCAGAATTGTGGAAAGTGTCCAGGTATGTCCATTTACTTTCACATTGCATGAAATTTTATCCACGACATTAAACATGCAAATTTAGAAATTTAAGTTTATTGCGATTTCACACATCATTGTCAATTGTAAACTGCTTTCACTGTTTTCTCGCTCTCTTATTAGACGATTCGGTGTCACATGTCCGGAGCTAAAATCAACAGTGGACGGTTGACTGACTTGATGGCTCGCATCAAGTGAAAGTTTTGTAAAGGCGGGAATTGGTTTTTGCTGATTTCGACTGTTTACAAAATGGAGCCGGCACCAAAAAAAAAAAGAGAGATTTTCAAATCTTATCAAACTCATTAATAATTCACAATGTCATTAGCCAATGATATACTGAGAATCTAATCACGTGATTATACCTTTATATTGGATAAAAGGTGCAGCAACCTCAAAGTTGGAGGAAAACGTTGTATCAGGAAAACGTTGAATAATAATCAGGCCCACACTCCCCTGAAAATATTCAAAATGTCTAAACTCGAGTGCAATCAAACACAATCAAACACAAAAAATCAATGTTGAAGCAATGCTTCGTTTCCTCGCAATTTACTCGTTCGTCGGATAAGCTTCGACGTTTTCTTCGCGTCCCGTCTTGTATGAATTTGACCATCCAAAAAATCGACGACTCGGCGTTCATGTCTTCACTTCTCAGCTTAGCTTTGAGTTCCAACTAAAGTGGTTGTTGTTTTCATAGAACTGAATAAGAGTGTTCCAAATTGGTAGTTTAGTGTTTCTTTTTCAGATACGTGCCAAAATACTGTCTTTGATGGTGGACATTCCGATGAACGACACCAAAAATATCAACATGGTGTCAGGAGTACTCATAGAGTCAACTTCAAAGGTCGACGAATTAACTGTTGATGGACAAGTAAGTGTATCGCTCGGGTTCAAACAGTCTTTATTCGGACAAGTTCATATACATTACACACTGTGCTCTAGTCTCCTTCGCAGCCTCCCCTTGATTGAGTAGATCCCAGCTTTTCTCGGACTGGGAGTAACCGTAAAAAAGAAAAAGAAAAAATAACAAATGTTAAAATTGGCTTGTTTCTCGTGTCCTCATCATCTCGCACGTAACAAAGTTTGGATTGTCTCGATTATTTCTGATTGTCTTGTTTGTGAATTACAGAGGAGAAATCTGTAACAGTTCTTTAGGACATGCTTGAGCATTATCGATAATTATTTCTACATTCTGAGCTGTAATGATTGATTCATTGTTTTAGGCATATCAATCAACCATGACTACAAAACCTTTTGAAGACACATTCAAAATAATTTCTAGAAGCTGTTATATGCCTGATGCAAATGTGTAAACAAAGTTTAAAGTTTTGTAAAAGCATGCAATTGTATTTGAAGACACGAAACCATATCAAACAATTGCCTAACATTCGCGCGGGCTACCTGTGTCTTTTGTGGGATTCCTTATTTTCAAGGATGGGAGGGGACTAGGACAAAATTATAATGGCCGACATGTTTGATTTTCATGTCACGTGGAATGTTTGTATTGTTTATAAAACTTTAAACTTTGTTTTGATATTTGCATCAGGCAGATAACAGCTTCTAGAAATTAAGTAAGAAGCCATTGCAGACGTGCAAATGCCGCGCATTAGAAATGTCCAGCATATCTATTAATGGCTCATTATGTTCTTCGGCTTCAGTCTCAAGCTTTGATGAAGTAACCTCCGACGTCTTCAAAATTAGGCGCAATTTAAACTATTTTTGCTGTTTATTGTTTCGCATTTCAATGATTTTCTTTTTCTAGATGCAGGCAATAACATCAGCTCTACAAATGTCTGAGAGTCTTTCCAAAGACAATAGCACTGACGATCCAGGGGATTTTGATGATACTGGGAAAACGCTACTTCAACTAACAGGGAATGTCATAACTGGAACTGCATTCAAAAGTAATAGCTCCAGCAGCGAAGGTATAAGTAGATCGTATTTTCATTGTTATCCATATCTTTTAAGATAAGAAAAAAATTAAAATGTAGTACTGGATGTTTTTTTTTTATTTTTTTTATATTCGTCAATGAATCGTTATTTCAATTTCTGTTAATTTGAGAAATTACAATTAGAGCATTTTGACGATAGTATTGATATGTTGCTTTCATGATATTTCATGCAGATAGCGAAGACGATTCAAAGGTAGGTGATTTTAGAACACAGCACCACTACTCTACTCCTTTTTATTATAATATCACTATTGTTAAGAATTCATACAATTAGGAAGCAATGTCTTAAATGCATGGGCAGGTCTGATATTGTTGGCATAGTGATCCAGGTTCGATAGTCCCAACTCGGAACCGGATCAGATATTCTCAGGCCGAAAAGTATTCCGGAATATAAAATTTATGTAAAATGAATCGAAGTCAAAAGAAAAAGTACAACGGCACTCGTGTTTTCGTAAGTTTGGTTTCTCATTTTCTGTAAAAAAACAACTTCAACCAAACACAAGAGTTTACCTCGGCGCGGTCTAGTTCATACGACAGCTATAGCTKCTTGACTGACGTTTGTCTAATGTATTCCCTCTCTTTTAGAGTGCGACTTTGAAAAAGTGAAAACTAAATTTAACCATTTGAAATTTACTAAATTTTACTCTTTTGTTACTCACTTTAGCTCAAATCTGTAGCCCAAACAGCGGTCAATACAACTTACTTAATTACAAAAACACTTCTTGATAAAATTGTTGGGGGAGAGAAACCCAAGAAGCTGGAAACACCATCACTTGGAATAGAGATTGCAAAAACAGAAGCTGAAAAAATACCAGCGTCCTATCAAGTCAATGGAGGGGAAGTCAAAGTCTCTTCTTCGCTGAACTCACTTGTTTCGGAAGCTACCAAGGTTTGTTGATAGTATGATTACTGAAGAATATGACTATATCTGTCGGTATGTAGGGAGAAGCCAATGAAAAATAACCTTGATCAAAAAGTTTATAAAAAATTAGAACTGTGAGAGAAAACTTTCACATACATAACAGAATGAACATTATGAGGATTTTCTCACCTTGAAGACGATGAAAACAAATAAATGACATCAATTTAGGTTTAGATACCTATTGTCAAATAGGAGCCAATCACAAACGGCAGTTGTGAAGCCATTATGTCATCCTGTAATATTTTTTGGAGAAGGTTRGTCTTCACATATATTGTACTAATAAAAACTTTTTTTCGAGGCAACTTTGCACTCTAACTAATAGCTATTTAGAAAAAGTATTAAGAATGTAGAATAACGCTAATATCCGACGTCAGAAGTACATAACCAGAAGTGTCCATCTTCGCAATAATATCGCCACCATCAGATGTCCCGATAATCTATTTATAGACAACCAATCACAACGCGCGCACATATTACACGGCACCTGATTGGTCCTTTTTGATCTTCAAGAGCGGACAAGGAAAAGGAAAATGTAGTCGATGGAGGCGAACGAAGTGAAGTTTGCATTACAAGAATTTTACAGCTTTTGCTKAACAACCATTTCTGAATTTGATAGAAAACATTCTTTACTATATGARCAATGTAGCGAAGGYAGWTCAAGAGCAATATGGTGTGCGAAAACAAGGGAAAAGTTCAGACAAAAACGAAGAAAAATGTAAAACAGCGTGCTAAGAAAAATAGTGTAAAGTAGCTTCCTTACAGTCAAATAGAGCTGGACTTAAACAAAGCCAAAGGTAAAGTAATTTTCGACTGTTAACGTGAGATGGAAAAACTGTAAATTTTCAGGTAGGCGGGGTTTGTTTTGAAATTCAAGTTAGTTATCGATATTTCTTTGACGACTTTTCTTGTTTGTGGCTTTTCATAACTTAGGTCAACTTAAGCTTATCTTGTTTATTGTTAACTTAAAATTCGACATGATTTCGTTATTACTCTCTGTACCTATTCGCTAGTTTGTTTATTCCTCGCTTTTTCTTTCAAAGAATAATCATTTTTCAACTCCTTTACACAATGAAGAGTTCACAATATAATATGAACTTAATTTGAACATCATTTTGCTAAAAGAGTTTATAATTGACTTTTTGTGACATTTTTCGCACTCGGGCATCGTTTTGTCTTAGTTTTCCCATTTTTATAAAGCTATTTAGATCCTAAAATACCTTTACTACAATTCTATGTATAGTCTACGGGCTTTTAAATTCTATTAGAACAGATTTCTTATTAAAACGAGAACAATTCTCTCCACAAAAATCACATTTTTGCAGACATTTCTTCGCACTCCTTTTGTCTGCATCTTTTTCATCTTTGTCTGAACTTTTCCCCTGTTTTAGCAGACCATATTGCTCTTGAAATGCCTTCGCTACATTGCTCATATAGTAAAGAATGTTTTCTATCAATCAGAAATGGTTGTTGAGTAAAAGGTGTAAAATATCTCGTAATACAAACTTCACTTCGCTCGCCTCCATGGACTTCATTTTACTTTTTCTTTTCCGCTCTTGAAGTAGATCAACAAGGACCAATCGGGTGCCGTGTAATATGTGCGCGCGTTGCGATTGGTTGTCTAAAAATAGATTATCGGGACATCTGATGGTGTCGATATTATTGGGGAGATGGACACTTCTGGTTATGTACTT